TGTCCCTGGGCCAGCAAATTCTTTTTTTAATCAATCACGCATATGCGCAAATAATTCTTTTCACGCCTGCGGCTGACTGCTTTAGATCAAGAGAAATTCTTCGCTGAGTGAAAAAGAAAACAAATTTCAGACTGAGAATCATTCAACAAATTAAAGGTAAGTAAAGGCAAGTCAGCTATTTCTCTTTACTCTGCTTGATAAAGGTTCTCATTCAACTCCCATCCATTCGCCCCGCCCATTTTAATGCTGAAATAAATTCATTAAATTTTGCTAGGCCGCCCCAAACCACTTTGCCGTACTTTTTGGCGAACAATAAAAATGTCATTTTACGTTGATATATGAGTTGTATAAAAATGTGCCCCGTCTCGAAAATCACGTAGTAAATTCTGCGTAAACTTGAAAAGGCTGCGGGCTTCGATAATTCGTCGCGAAATGAAACATGTGCCCAAAAACTTTTGCCGTATGTGTGTGTGTCCGTGTGTGTGTGTGTTTCTTTTTGCACCCATTTCAATTTTTTGTTGCTTCTTGCATATTAATTTGAAATTTGTAGCATACTTTGAACACACACACACACACATTGGTGTGTACATGTGTGTGTGTTAACAAAGTCATAAATTTCCAGCACTGCTGACAGTTTTCATATTCGACTTTTGCTATGCATGTTCAAAATTGCTCAAATGTCTAGCAAATGGTCTGGGCACACTTCCATTGGCATACCTGCATTTCTGAGCACTCCAAAGGTGTTTGGCCACGACTCCAGTTCGCAGCGCATGCATATTAAATGAAGGCGTATTAGACTTGTTTTCATACGACTTTGAAATGGGTGTGAGCTGGGTAGCCTAAACATGATTTATTGTGCACTGCATTCAGAAGCCATTGGCCTTCTGGGACTTTTCTAAAAATTTTAAACTCCTTCGCCAGCTAGTTTTTAGAGCAGTAGATTTATATTCAATTTAATTGATATTTATTCACAATTAACTTTGCCCATTTTGCTCTAAATTTAACTAGGAATAATTCGATATATTCGGAAAGACAATAATTGAGTCAAAGTAATTTCTCTTCTCTTTTATTCACTGCCAGGGTATGCGGAAATGCAGCTCTGTCACAAAAGCGAATTCGATTGAAGCTTTTTGCAGTTCGCAACTCAATCAACGGCACATTCAATCAAATGTTTTGGCACAATATTTTAAAGCGTAAGTACACACACACACACACACACACGCACACTGACAAACAGTTCGAATCTGTGCTTGCGTGTGTGTGTGTTTATTTATTGTGCATTTGTAGTCGCTGATATTTATTTACTTTCTTTGGGCACTATGCAACATTCGATAGAGCATTGAATTACATTTCCATGAAGCGAACTGCGCTGTGCGGCACGAAGTGCAGAAAAGTTTTCAGCTACAGCACTCGGCGAAAGTTTTTTCTTCCTTTTTTCAACCCCCTTTCTTTTTTTTTTTTTTTTTTTTTTTGCTATTTCCGGTGGCAACGACAGCGCGTACAACAAGCACGACGACATTTTTGGCCAAATTGTGTGTGAAATTGAATTGCAATTGTCAATAATTCGTTTCCAAAAATATTTCCAGAGCTGCCAAGCAAACTGATTGAGTCAACGAGCGGCGCTAAGTGAGACCTGAGCTGCAAAAGTTTGGTGTGCGCAATGCGATTATAAAGTTTCCACATCCGCCACTCCCCCCATGCGGCCCCCGCCCCCTTAAGCTATAAGAAACTTGCACATAGGTAATGGCTTAACCTGAGCGTCTAATTAAAATCGGCTTGAACTTTTTGGGCCATGCAAAACTTGCAGCAAACTGAGCAACTGATTGAATATTAACTTGGCCAAGATGACAATTTCCAATAGCCAAAGAAAAAGACTGTGTGTGTGTGTGTGCGTGTGCGTGTGTTTGTTGTAAATCAAATTTCTGCTGCAGTCATAAAATCCAATGAGGCGCATACAATTTATTTGTTTTTTATGTGCTTACAACTAATGCGAGCCACCAGGCAAACGGCAAACGGCACCCGGCATCAGGCAGTTGGCTTGAGGAAAGGATCCCGTTTCGTGCCCGTCCAGAACGGCACGTACCAAAAGTTCCGCAACGAAATTTTTCAGTTTTACTTACGTAAAATGTTTAAACATATGTGCAAATCGAACTAGCAATTCGTGCATGCATATATATGTGTCTGTGTGTGTATGCGTGTGTGTGTGTGCCTGTCATAAGTTTGAATGGCGGCTTCAGGGGGCGTGAGGGGCTGCCAGTGAACCGACACTGACTTTGCCGTTTCTTTGGCCGCAACATTTGACACCTGCTATGCTCCCGTTTTGTTTCGTTTGGTTTAGTTTTATTTTTTGTGGACCCTCAAGCATGCCACGGAACGGAAGGTGGGGCGGGGTATGTGTGTGGTTGGCATACCCCACATTGTTACCATTTTATTGTGTGCTTAAATATTTACACAATGAAAACGAAGCATTTCCTTCCACACACACACACACACACACACACACACACACTTACACACACTTGCACAAGAGGTACATGTGTATTCATGAGTGTCTAAGTGTTTGTGCCACAAAACACATTGTTTTTGGGGGCTTTGCGTGTTTGATTTATGAACGTTGTTCTATTTTTCATTGTTCATTGTTGTTCCTGTTGTTGTTGTTGTTGTTGTTGTTGTTGACCCCCAGCTACACATATGACACAATATTTTATACTCGATTGCCAATTATGACCTGTTAAGGGTTTATGGCCAATCGTGCGTCTGTCTAAGTGTGCGTAATTATTTGCCTTAAGGGGCAGCTCAATTGAGCAATGACTAATGGAGCTTGGGGTATGCATAGATAGTTATTAATTGGATGTAATACATATTTTTATTTATATAGCAAACGCATTGGTGCTTCCAGTGCTATCTTAACATTTGCATATGTATACACATATGTTGTTATATATGTATATGTTTACATAGATTTCGGGAACTCTGTCAAGTTTGAAATTGGTTGCTTGGAAATATGCAGAGCTCTGGCCCCTTCTGCTCTGCTGGTAGCAGACTTTGGGCATGTTGGCCAATTGAATATTTCATGACATTTGTCACTTGCGCATGCAACAGACATTCGTTTCCTGTTTACAACGCTCCAGCCTCCTGCCCGGACCTGCTTTTTGAGCTATCAGATGACTCGGGGATAAGTTGAAGTCCTCGCGCATTTGGCTGTCTGTCTGTTTGTCTGTCTGTCTTTGTGTCTTTCTGGCTTCTGGCTGCTCGCCCCACACGAATTGTGGAACTTTTTTGCGTATTCAGCATGTCAACTGTGGAAACTCAATTTGCCTAAGTAAATAAACGGAATATGAATGTTTAATTTATTTTACGAGCATAGATATTAAATAAACACACGACCGAGTGAGCGTGTGTGTGTCTGTGTGAGTGTGTGTAGCACAGTGTAAGTTTTGCACATGACATGCAAAAACTTTAGCCATGTCAGCGAGGAGTTGCAAGTCGAGAAGTTCGGGCTATGAAAACAGCGACTAGGCAATTGCGGCTTGTTTGCCATAGCACAATTTGCAATTGGTAAAGTTTCGCTCGCCCAGAGAATTACAAACACAATTTCCCTGGCATCAAGCTGTCGATTTCTCAGGCTGGGTGACAAATCAATGGAAACAGGCCTCTCACAAAGTTTAATTAAATCGACTCTGGCACTCTGGCAGCACTCTCTGCCTTCAGAGCTCTTAAATTAATAGAAATCTCATCGCAGGCAATATGCAGGACGAGTACATTGGCTGCGGTTAATTAATTTTATATCAACTCTCGCTTTCGCTTTTGCCACTTTCCATTTGAGTTAAGGGCAGAAAGGCAAATTACAAATTACAAAGAAATTGTAAATGCGAAAATGTGCGGCGGCAGGTAAACAGCGAATACACTGAAAAAATCAGAGCATAAAAAATAAGATGAAACACTGTATCACCTGTGGCAAATTCAGATTTGCATTACTCATTTAATTAAAAACGTCCTTTCAGTATATTCAACGTGCTATTTAATTAAGCTACAACTTTTTGCCGTATTTCCAGTTGCACACGCTGCGTATACGCGATGTTCGACTGACACCCAAACAATCTTCAATCAACGTGTCGTACATAAAATGTTCTTGCGTGACTCATAATTTGTTGTCGACTTGTTTACATGTAACCTCTCACTCTTTCTCTCTCCCTCCCCCTCTCTTTCACACTCGCTCATCTGACGTACTAATAATGATGATGCGCCCCTTTATGAATATTGTAGCTCGACTTGTTATATGGTCGGAGCTGAAGTTGTGGCTGCATCCTCGCCCATAAAAAGCTAAGCGTTTCGTTTCGCTCGGCGGCATTAAATTTGTGAGTTTTCTTTTTTATACGACTGAATCGTGTTATTACCGCCTTGTAATCGCTTCCCTTTTATGCACTCGACTTCCGTTGATAGCTGGATCTGCACTTAGGTTCGGTCCACGTGAATTTACAGCCAAACTTGTTGAGAGTATTTCACTTTTTTATTGCTTTATTGACTGATTAGCAGAGGAGCATAAGCTCAATAATATTCTCGTGATATCATATATGAAGCTAGGCAGTTAAGATAAGCAATTTTCTGGCAAACCTATTTTAAAGCATATATAATAATATTTCATATATTATATATAAACTGCCTCCACACTTAATCGATCAATAAACATAAGCCACAACATCGGTTGTACTACTTGAGCTTGTTTGTTAAGTAAACATCAAGAGTTTAGTTGAGCAATGATCTCGCTCGAAGGTATTGAAATTCGTAGCACAACACAACTGGCGTTTGCTCAAGAACAGCTGTTGCCTTCATGAGACTCAACCCGTTGCAATTGTTAAATATTTGACATGTTGTGAAATGCTATGTCTAACGCTTTGTAACATACAACGACAGCATAGGGCCCGCTGTATGATCTTTGGTATAAAAAGCCCCGCTGGGTTAACGAAAAGCACAGTTACTTACAACTTCTGTAGTTAGCCATGCAGATCGTAACAGTTCTTAGCTTGCTTATCGGCAGTTTCTTTGCCTACACATACGCGGCTCCCCAGTCGACCAATCAGCTGATCACCGCATTAGGCGCTTTGGCCGCACAATTGGCGCAGCAGAGGAACTCGACTGTGCGATATGACAACGGCACTGTGATCATTACGGGCATTGCCAGCTCTAACGCCACCTCCAACATCGGCAGTCTGCACAGGCCACATGGATCTCATGGACATCATGGTCACCATGGACATCATGGATCTCCTGGACATCATGGATCTCCTGTACATCATGTTCACAATGGACATCATGTTCACAATGGACCTCATGTTCCTTATGGACCCCATGTTCCTTATGGACCTTATGGACCAGGCGGCTGGTACAATCCCTGGAACAGGTGGAACGGAGTCTGGCGCGGAAATCCTGAGGAGGAGCAGGATATCGAGATTCCCGAGGATGCAGAGGATTCTGAGTACTATGAGCTGATGGAGGAGGTGCTCCCAGAGGACCTCGACATTCCCGAGGATGCCGAAGATGCCGAGGATGCCGAGGATGCCGACGATGGCAAAGATTCCGATGATCTCGAGGATCTGTTGAAAGAGGAGATAGAGAATGAAAACGGAGAGTCTAATAATTAACCAAATGGAAACAGTTGACAGACTAAAATCTTCACTCTCCAACATTTATATTATCAAAATTTTAGAATTCAATAAAAATTATTAAATTGTTCAAATCAACCAGCAAAATAAAGAAACCTGTTTAAATATTGAATAAACTTAAGCTTCATTTTACTTATCCATCTATTCAATTTAAAATGATAAGACTTTATTTAATTCTCAATAGGGCTTCTGTTCATATGACTACAGAAAAATAGAACTCACAGATGAATGCTTGACCTTGGCTATAGGCTGGGCTTTTAACATTTGAAAGGTTTAGTATATACTATGCATTTTACATAGGAATTGTAATTTGAATTGCCTCAAAAGAGAAGCATATATCATTCAGCATAATACCAGCTCTTATACTATTTACTTTATAGGGAAATATTAGCCACAATATCGGCGAGCCATTTGAATTTGTTTGCTAAGTAAACAGTTATCTTAGCTTCTGTAATGTTTTCTCTTTCGGCTTAACCCGATTAACGGCGCGGCTGCTGACGTTTGCTTAAAAGCAGCTGTTGGCTTCATGAAACTTAGCCCGTTTCGATTGCTAAATATTGGACAAGCTCTAAAATATTTCATATAACACTTGGAAAAATCATATAATTATTTGAGAGTTGTTTTTGTACCCGAAAGTGAAATGAATATATTCGTTTTGTACAATGTCCATCTTAGTGTCCGTCCGTCTGTTCATTTGCCTGTATGAATGATATTTTTTTCGACGCTACTGTCTTGAGCATACACTTGAATTGAAAGGTGTTAAAAGTATCCCGGTCCGCCCACTTGGGGCAGGACAAAGCGAATCTGAATATTTAATGAATTTTCAAATTCTGCTATATTTAGACCACTATCGGTGCGAAAGGCTTAAAATTTGGTGTGTATACAAGTAAATCATTAGAGTAAGTTTCGTTCATGTTGAGTGGGTCTCACTTGATTAAAGGCAAATTAAAGCTCTATGGATAACGAATGCAGTCATTAGCATTTGATTAAGAACAGCTGTTGCCTTGATAAAACTCGATGTGGCAAAGTCTATTTCAATTCTCAAATATTTGACAAGTTCTAAAATAAATTTAACCTTAAGACTGCAAAGCTAACAAGGGTAACAAGGTCATTTGTAATAGATTTGGTATAAAAAGCAATCATTTGAGTGAGCTAGAGCACAGTTAAATAGTTCGCCATGCAGATCGTAACAGTTTTTTGCTTGATCATCGGCAGTTTCTTTGCCTTCACGGTGGCAGCTCCCCAGAATAAGAACAAAAATACGACAACTGATGTTAAATATGATGGCCAGTCGGTGATTATTACCGGCGTTGCGAGCTCGCATTCCTCTTCTAATATCGACTATGATGGAGCACACAATCACACTGCACAACACAGCAGCGGATGGCACAATCATCACTGGCATCATTGAAGACGGAAAAGGAGCATAAGCTGCAGGAGCAGGCGAGCAAATAATGCAGAAAACTAAAACGCAGGGCATACAAACTTTTCAATCGCCGACTCCAATCCAATCCAATCAAATATATTAAATTGTACAGCTCGCACCTGATAAAAGAAATCTAAATAACGGCTGTTCAAATATTGAAATCACAACGAAATAAAAGAAACGCACATTTAGCAATCAAATTGAAAACTTTGAGGCTTGCTTTGAACTGGATCAATATGCAATTTAGATATGCATTTTCTAACCGTCCATATGATTCGCATTTTTTGTCAATAAATTCATAAATCCCCTTGTTTTTGGAATGCTACTCTTTTGCCTCTCGTTTGAATCTGTTTGCAAATGCTTTTATGGCATTTGCTTAAATGCAAATATCGAATTGAATTGCCAGTTTTCAGTGCTGTATTTTTATAAACCAACTTAGATATTCAATATTTTATGTCCGAAAGGGCTAAAAGCTCAGCTAACCATGAATGTGTGTGTGTGTGCGAGTGTGTGTGTGTGTGTGAGTATGTGTGTGCTGCTGTCTAAACTGTTGCACAACTCGCTGAACTCCCGCGGGTGGCATAAAATATATTTTACATAAATGGTTGCAATCGCACATTAATATGCAGAGCAAAAGTTTCATAAACCCAAGCATGTTCGTTGCTGGTTCGTTTGGCACATGGAATATGAACATTTCATTTCGATTCGCTAATTGGACGCTGCGCAGTTCTGGCTAAACTTTGCATCAAAGTTTAACAAGCTGTCTAACTGACAGAATGCAGAATGCATTGCACATTGCTTAAGCAATAACATGTCAAATTTATGTAATTATTGCGATTTGTCATTTTAGAGGGAATTTAAATCAAAATACTGCACGAGGATTCGTTACACTCGTGGAAGATTTATTCCTGCTCTGATTCAGCAACTTTCTCCCATTTCAAGCATGTTTACATTCATATTAAGCATACGCCCAGTGCGACTTTGGCTCGTCGCCCAGAAGCCCAGGCAGCGCTTGAAACTTGGCTTCGTTTCAAAATCTGAGCGAAAATAAATGTTTAGCTAAATTGTTTTCTAACTGCGATTTATGAAGAATGCCGCTGCAATCGGACTATGCAAATTGGCCATTGAACTGGAAGCGAGCCAAGTGCTGCCAAATTGTTAGATGCGCTACAGTGGATAACGCATATACAATACCTGGCGCAAAACTGATGGCCCATTCGCCGATAAGGCCAAGACTCCGCACTGCTTCGAGTGCCAGCCCCAGGGGAGTTAACAAATCACTCGAAGCGCAGAGCGTGTCTATCGTTTGAATTGCGACAAATGGAACGCATTAGGTTAACATTATTGCCAAACAATTTGTTCCAAATGTTTTTATTTGTCTCCTCCTTGTTGTTGTCACACAACATTTCTACTTTATTTTGTAGCTCTCTTCTCTCTCTCTCTTCTCTGCTCTCCTGCTTTCCCCTAGATGTGTTTGGCCGCCCCAAATATAATTCCTTAGCCAATTGTAGTACATGTGGCCAAACTTGAAATCGGATTAGGTAAGAACATGAGGACTGGGGGCTCGGAGCCTGTGGCAAAATCAAACAACGATAAATTGCTGAAACTTGTAACTGATATTATCGTATACGAGTCCAATTTTGTTGTTAGCCTGTTGCTAAAAATGTCCTTGCCGCTATCCTGTCTGTGTTGTGGGGCTTCCTGCTTGTCGCGCGCCTGTTTCCTGGGACTTGATATTAAGTGGCAAATTATCTTATACTTTTGTGTGTGTGTGTGAGTGTGTTCTTGTGTGGGATTTGTAATGGCAATGCTTTTAAAAAGGGTTTACGTGTAATTGATACCCGCCCCACCCAGTCTCAGAGGCCCTAAAAGTGGCCGTTAAAGCGACTGAAATGGATTTGCATTTGTGCATTTAGACAATTGATTCTGAAAGTGGGGAAACCAGAAATGTAAGCGACCCACGTCATGCATTATACATGAGCATTCTCTGTATTTATGATTGCTTTGAAGTGTTTATAAAAAGGAGCTCGATACTTAGGTATGGAATAGTTTGTATTCAATACTCTTCAAATATACAGTTCGCATTTTGGTTGGCTTTGCACTGCAGAGACTCAACGTCGAACAGCGTGCCCTCCTCACAGACCACGGCATAGGGTATGGGATAGTCGCAGACCACATAGCGATTGCAATCGTTCGGATATGGCAAAATTGTGCCAAGCGGATGACCACAGCATATGTTTGGCGTATCCGGGTGTATTGTGGTGGATGCTGAAGTTGTAGATGCTGATGTTGTGGTCTTCTGCGTTGTCTCAGGCGTTGTGCTTGACGGCATCTCGGTTGTGATTGGCGTTGTAGTATGTATTACAGTGCTCGAAGTCTCTGGAGTACTCGGACTAGTAGTATCGATTGCTGTACTGGAAGTCTCTGGAGTACTTGGAGTAGTAGTGTCTACTATAGTACTGGAAGTATCCCAAGAACTAGTGGTAGCCACGGTAGTGAGCGGCGTAGTAGTTGGAGTAGCTGGAGAAGTTGGTGTTGCTGTTGCCGTTGTGGGTTCGGGTCTACAGTTGGCCAATTCCGGATCCATACACTGCAGCTCTGTAGGGCTGAATTCCAAGCCCGCGGGACAATCATAGCCAATGGGTATGGGCTCTTGACACACAATATATTTCTCACAATTATTTGGATATGGCACAAGGCTTCCATTTTGCTTATTGCCGCAAATGCCGCCTGAAGGCGCTGGCGTTGTCGTCTGCTCCGTGGTTGTTGACTCTGGAGCTGTGCTGGAGCTGCTGGTGGCTGTTGTGGGTGGCTCAGTAGTTGGGGATATTTCAGAAGATGTCGAAGATTCTGGAGTTGCCAAAGTCTCGGTTGTTGTGGAAAGCTCGGTGGTTGTGGAAGGACTGGGAGTTGTGGAAGGCTCTGTGGTTGCGGAAGTACTGGGAGTTGAGGGAGGTTCGGTAGTTGTTAGTGGCTCGGTTGTTGTGGAAATCACGGTGGTTGTCAAAGGCTCGGTTGTTGAGGAAGTCTCAGAGGTTGTAGATATCTCGGTAGTTGTGGATGATACTGGACGCTCAGTTGATTCGGTTGTCTGATCACTGGCCGTTGTTGATCCGGGCCAGCTGGGTGTTGTGCCAACGTTGCAATTGGCTAGCGAAGCCTCCATGCACTTACGCAGCTCCGGACTAAACTCATCGCCTTCAGCGCAGTCGTAGGCGGCGGCAATGGGACGATCACATTTGATGTACTTGGAGCAGTCGTTGGGATAGGGCACCAGTTCGCCATCGGCTGCTCCGTCACACGGACCCTTTTGTGGCGGTGGGCGGGTTACGGGGGGCGTGGGCTCTGGCGTTGTCTCCGTTGTTGTTGCTGCTGTTGTTGAAGTGTAGTCCCAGCGACAGGCATCCGATGGCACGTCAGCACCGCATTTGCCACTTATCGGATCGTAGTATTCGCCACAGTTGCACACATCCATCATGTAGATGTAATCGTTGACACAGCGTATGAACCACTGGCAGTTCTCCGGGTAGGGGAACGTGTCCCGAGTGCTGTT